TTTTTTATTTTCTGAATCATTTCACCCCAAGCAAGGTAATACAGCCACTAAGAAACAAGGCGCTACTGAGTGTGAAAGAATAAGACAAAAAGGGAAACATTATTAAAGACTGGGAACAATAAAAGATGGATAATCAAGAAGACAATAGATAACGATTGAGAATGCATTTAATTTTTTAAAGATCAATGTTGACTGGATAATATGGAGCCAGAAGTGAATTCCATAAACTAAAAGTCCGAGAAAAGAAAGCGTAGAACTGACGGTTGCATCTCGCCAGTTCAACTATAAGCTGGTGAGACCTTACCGCCAATCTAGTACTACGTTTAAATTCATAAAGTCTTGCTAGCATAGTGGAAAGTTCATCAGTCACTTGAAACCTACAATGATCATCCAAGTGTGACTTGTTTAATGGGCATTAATTCAAAATTCATTAAACATTTATACGTTGAAATGTCATTTCAATGGTGGGCAGATTTTTTGTTATTTTTCATAAATAAAAAAAAAACAAATCCCCACCGTGTGTAACTACCCAACTTTTCGACGGAAATAATAATCTTACTTATTATAAAACGCAGATTGTGTGTGTGTGTGTGTGTGTGTGTGTGTGTGTGTGTGTGTGTGTGTGTGTGTGTCTGTAACGATTATATATTGGATCGGATTTCCTACATTTTTCAACCGATTTCAACAAAACTTCACTTTTTTTTGGCATGTAGTGTTTCTTATTGTCTTGCACACTTTTTTCTTTATTCTTACATTCAGAATGTTTTAAAAATTCCATTTACAAGACAATTGTTTATAATAAAATTCTATTCAATCGGTAGAGACTCATAACGATTGAAAACAATGTTTTTGTTTTTGACCAATTCGTAAAAAAAAAAAAAACTAATTAAGACATGCGAGTCCGTCAACCTTAAACAATAATCTTTGTCAATTTTATTTTTCAGTCTTTATGATGGTCGATACTTGATCTATCTCTTACTTGCAACGCCGGGCTCTACTGCTTGTGACATTTAAAAAGACAATAAATCATAAATAGTAATTATATATCATTTTAATATCTGGCCACAACTTTCAGAATGTTCTGGCATTGTCTTCAACAATAAGATCCAGATTTCGATTTAATTTCACTTCTTTACATCGATTAGCAATTCTTTTTTTTTTTAAATTTTATTTTTCTTCTACTTCTTACTTTATAGATTTTATTTGATTTTTTACGTGTATGAGTTTTTTTTCACATACTTTAACAAATCCTCCATGCATGAGTTGCATTGTCATCAACAGTAGCTGCCCCTAAAAAAATTTGAAACAGTTCCACAGTAATACCATTTTTATCGTGAAAACTATTAGTCATCAATTGGTTGTAATTTTAGACTACGGTCAGCCTCTGCATTCATATGTGACACGTTTCGTTCTTCGGAAATACTTCTTCAGATGAAATATTTTTTTTTCTTATTGATGGGATCATATATATGTAGGGGGAGGGAACAAATTATAGAAAACGGGTAATCATTTCTGGGTGTTCCAAGGTAAATTTACGACCAGGATCATAAATAATGTCACCTTTCTAAATAAAGAAAATTGCTGCGAATATTCAGTTTTTAAGGATTTCACACCAAGTAAGGCAGTAAAGCCACTAAGACACAGGTGAGTGTGAAAGAATAATAAAAAATAAAATATTATTAACGAGCGAGAAAGAGCAGTAATCAAGAAGACATTAGTTAATGATTGACATTACATTTAAATTTTTGAAGATCAAAGTTGGTTGGAAAGAATAAAGCCGAAAGCGAGTTCTACAAGCGAGAATTGCGAGAGAGAAAAAAAAACTATTAGCATAGAATTTACGGTTGAATCTTTCCAATTCAGCTGTAAATGGATGATACCTTCTTGCCAAACTAGTATTGCGTCTAAAATTATAAAGTTTACGTTCCATAGCGGAAAGTTTATCAGAACAATTACCATGTAGGTTTTTTGTAATATAGAAAAGTCTCAAGAAAGCTATGTTTTATTTCTTTATAATTTCATATTTTTTATCATTTAATATTTTTTAATCATTTTATTTATTTTTATTTTTTGATCAATAGACATTTTTAATAATTTCTCTTTTGTATCTGTCTATATTTCCGAGAAAAGATATTACGTACACTATTTACATTGTTCAGACTATCATCGCCATCTTTGTTGCCATATTTATTACAACGTTTCGGCCTTCTTCAAATGGTTGGAATGCCGAATTGAACATTTTTTATCTCGCTGGATTAGACAGTTCTAGTTCCACGTACCAGTTATCAGGTTCTCCAAGTTCTCCAGCGCCATAACCAGGTATTGAAACCACACCCTTTGGGTCCTGTCACTGGATCTAACGAAGGCCTTTATCCACTGTGCTATGTGTCATTGAGGGCATCTGTGTATGAATTTCTAATGTCTCCAGCAATCACTTTTTACCAGTGCTCATATTGCAATTTTTGCTGTGATCGAAATTATGTATTTTACCAGAGCTCATATTGCAATTTTCGTTGTTATTACTGCTTTTCTCTGGCAGTTCTTATTACTGGTTTCCATATTGTATTCATTTCTATGCTTGGTCGGCCCAGGAGATTTTTGTGGCCTAGCATATGTGCTGATTCCTTAAGTTTACGAATTTTCCAATGCTGTTCTTTGTTTATGATCTCAACTTGATCCCACAGAGGGCGGTGATCTCTCTTCTCTCTCCATATGTGGTCAGCCACGCCTGATTTTTCTACTTCCCCTCGTGTTACAGCTTTCTGGTGTTTCTGAAGCCTAACCTTAACAGGGCAACCTGTCTCCCCTTTATATTCCTTTCCGCAGCTCCACGGGATAGCGTACACACACTCTTTAGTCATGTTCTCCTCTATGGGGGAGTCTTACTCAGGAGAGATATCTGCGAAGTGTCGTCAAGCTTTTGAAGGTTGTCCTGATGTTATATGAACCGCAGATCTTTTGTATTTAACCCGGTAACCCCTTCACATAATGTCGGCAGACTGTTTTCTGAGTGTTGTTGTCCTCCTCTTGCGCTTTTGTAATCATGTCACTTATATCGCTAAATTACACAGGACAACAAAAAAATTGAAATGTTATCGAGACACGAAACATCTTTTTTTTAGCTAATTTGAGGGCGCTGAATCTGAAAATGACTTTACTTTTACTTGGTTAGGTACCGTTTTTGCTGTACGGAAATGCCTCATTTTGGGGGAAAGAGAAGCATTTTCTTTTTCATTTGTTTTCTGTACATATGATATTGACCAATGGCAATAGGTCTCAAAATAAAATCAGAGAAACTTCTCAATTCGTATTTAAGCTAACAGATATTTGGTCTGCTTATTGAGAAATACTATTTTTGCAATAACCATCAGACATAAAGTCTTTAAAAACAACACGATTGAATATACCAAGACCAACAAGTATTTTCATCAAATCATTTAATAAACTAACAGCCGAAATAATGCATTCGTGAATATAAGAACTATGGCAAAAAATTTACTCTTTCTTGATTGTCATGTTTAAAGATATTTAAGTCCCTTTTGATACTCCATCAGTATCATGTGTACAATGGAATAGGTACATTCAATTGGGATGTCTTTAGTTGGAGTTTCTTTCCAACTGTGAAAACAAAATGCTCTCAATGTGCTTGGTTTCCTTCCGTAGTGAAGGGAAGGAAGTGATGGGATAAATATATGAATATCAAACAGAAGATTCATTTGTTTTATGTCATCTTAATTATCAGGTTTACTAAAGGGTATTACTGATAAAATTTATCAGTTAATTTGAATTCTGACAATAAATTTTAAACATTCGGTACATCTATTTTAAAATTTTTGACTTATAAAAATAGATTATTTAAGGTGGCTGACATAAATTGCTCAGCCTACCTGAAAATGTATGGGTTTCTATGACCTTTATTAAAAATATTTTTCGATCAGCCATGATCATGAATTGATCTTTTTTCCAAAAAAACATAAGCAGTTTCAGTGTAGCAAAAACGGTAGCTTATCAGGAAAAGTCTAAGGTCATTTTCGGAATCAGCGACATCAAATTAGCTAAAGTATGTGTTTTGTTTCTTGGCACCAAAATCGTGTTGACCAGTGTTTTTTTTAATCCCCATCACACCAAATATTCCTAGAAATATGAAATATAATATATTTTCTGGCTTTAAATAAACCGTTGATAAACTATAGAAAACGAAATGATGATCGTTTCATTTTCTGATATCGCTTCATGGACTGCAATTATATATTCCGGCAGATATAAATCAATGAGGATTTTTGGGGGTGGTGGGATATCATATCATATTTTTTTTTGTGGGGTTATCCTGTTTTTACTGTTGCTATTAGTACTGGTTTCTCATATTGTGATAAAACCTATCTTTTTTATGTACTGATGGCCTGCAAAACCCATTTTTCATCACCTGTAAAACTGTGAGGTAAAAATAAATAGCTGACATTACTTGTTAAAACACGTCTACAAAATGGTGGAAAAGTTGTGTTCGGTTCTCAAGCGAAAGTTAATCAGAAACAAATATTCGGTTGTGGCCAGTTTTCCCAATTCACTCCGAATTTTCGTGGACACTTATTTTCTTTTCGTAGAATATGACACCATGATGGCTTGTGCTAAATCCCTTGTTCTTTACTGTGGGTTTAATTTATGTGTCTCTTTCAAACGTTATTTATTCAGAGTGGGTCAAGTTTGGAGGATATATCACAATCGCTATATTCAAACCTTTTTAAACCACAGCTGATACCTACGGACCTTCACTGCACATGTATACAATGCGCGAATCTTTTCAAAGGCCTTTGTAGCAGTACTACCCTTTTGGAATTCCATAGAGTATCATCAACAAAGCGAGTTAAACTATGTAAACGTCTCTTATGTTAAGTAGAAGAGATGATGAACTAATTTTCGGCGCAGTTTCCAACCATTCAGCTTTGGTTCTGCCTTGGTTGGTTGACTCATAATTCATAGCAGTGAAATATTAATTACTATCCTTACAACCTTATATGTCCTTCCGACATACAAGAATGACAAGCAAATAAATAGATAGATAGATAGATAGATAGATAGATAGATAGATAGATAGATATGAATATACTGCGATATATAGATTTACATGAACATAAGCAAATAGATAGATAGATATAAATATATCGCGATAGATAGATAGATATCAATACAGTTAATATGAGCAAACTTAGATAGATAGATAGATACGAACATACCACGATATATAGATTTAAATGAACATATGCAAATAGATAGATAGATATAAACATATCACAATAGCTAGCTAGCTAGATAGATAGATATGAACAGACTGTGAAAGACAGATATATATGATCAGATCGCGATAGACAGACAGACAGACAGACAAACAGACAGATAGATAGATAGATATGAACATATCGCGATAGATAGATAGATAGATAGATAGATAGATATGAACATATCGCGATAGATAGATAGATATGAAGAGACTGTGAAAGATAGATAGATAGATAGATAGATAGATAGATATGAAACGAGAGATAGATAGACAGATAGACAGATATCAATACAGTTAATATGAGCAGACTTAGATAGATAGATAGATAGATAGATAGATAGATAGATAGGAAACTAGAGAGAATGATAGATATGAACACATCGCGATAGATAGATAGATAGATAGATTTAAAAATACTGACGTAGATATATCCGAAATAAATATTAAATGTTAATGAAATTATTTTTAATCCGACATTTTTTCTTGGTTCAAATGTTATTTTTTTTCATCTCAAATGTCATTAAAGTGATATAAATATCGGATTAAAAATAAATCCATCAACTCTTTTGAAATTGCTTTGTTTACGTTTTGGATACTGAAATCAACATAGATATGGTGATTCGGGAAAATATAAATAAAAGCGTGGAACTTCGTTAAAAACGAAACAAAAAAAAAAAAAAGCACCTTGGTCGTTTCTGAAACAGTCTGTGCTTGTGCGTCATAAATCAAACGCTGCATAAAACGGTGTTTTCTCCTTCAAAGGTAGTAGGGTGGGCAGCTGCATTTCCCCCCTTTATTACGCCTTCTTCAGTGCGTAGGCCGGTAGACGTAAGATACACTTTTTAAAATAAAATAGAAAAGGAGTGTCTTTTCAAGCAGAGGTAGCAACTAAAAATATCGTTAGAAGCATATACATACATACATACAAATATATATATATATATATATATATATATATATATATATATATATATATATATATATATATAGGTAAAATGAGAAAAAATGGAGTATAATTCCACAGTACGTAATATTTAATTTTAAAGCCAGCTCAATGCAGAGAGGAGCTAAATGTTATTTATTTTAGGATATTAAAACAAAAAACATGTTAAAAATCGCTACACAATTACAGTCATGTTTCAACACCACAAATGTGTGTCTCCTCGATATATATATATATATATATATATATATATATATATATATATATATTTTAAAAATATGATTCCAATTCGCGACATAAGATGTCTCATGTTTCAAAGCAGAAATTTATATATATATATATATATATATATATATATATATATATATATATTATATTATATATATATATTTACACACACGCTCTATCTCCGATATTGAGCACTTTATCCCATAAATATAGCACACCTTAAGACTATATTTTCATATATATATATATATATATATATATATATATATATATATATACATATATATATATATATATATTATATATATTATATATTATATATTACTATTAGAGAGAGAGAGAGAGAGAGAGAGAGAGTGATGAATTGGGCATTAAAATCATAACCCAGAGGCGACAGTCTGTTTCATGCTAAACGCAATATTGTGTTAGGTTTAGGATTTATATTTTATATTTCCATGCTATCTACGCTCTGTCTTGACATTGAGATCTTTAACCCACAAATATAGCATTCGTTAAAACTATGTTTTTCACACACACAATATATATTAATTACTATCCTTACAACCTATAAATTGTTTTAAACAACATAATTGCATTTAAGGATTTTTGTTTGTTTTTTCCAAAGTTTTTCTTCATATATATATATGTATGTATGTATGTATTTATATATATATATTGTTACTATTATTATTACTATTATTATTATACTAATAAATATACTCGGTTGGTAAAAAAAACCCTGGATTGAACAATTTACTGGTATATCAAAACAAACTGGTATCCGAGGGAAAAAATTGGGAAAAAAGGAAGAAATAGAAACATCTAAACAGGGCGAAAAAATCGATCAGTGCCGTAAATTTCAAGCCCAAAGAAAACAAAAAAAAAAAAAAAAAAAAACAAGCAAGTAATTAAGCTAAAACGTAGAGTACTCAATACACGACATAGAGCAAAGAAATAAATTAATCCTAAAGAACCAGTATCTATCTACCTAGGCTTCGCATAAATAGATCTTCCCGACAAGCCAGATACAATTTGCTCTCCTTTACTCAACTCTCTCTCTCTCTCTCTCTCTCTCTCTCTCTCTATATATATATATATATATATATATATATATATATATATATATATATATATATCGAGTAATCAGACAGAGATGGGTGCTTTGCTAAAAAAATAATTTCCTCTCGAAATTGTATCGTCTACAAAACATCTGTCGGTGAGTTATTCATATTTCTCTGTTTATTTCTCGGTCCGTCGATGAAGGTCACAGGCGTGTCCGAAAATTCCGGACTTAAAACCTGTCTTCTGTTTCTGTCATGTGGTTAATAATTAATATTTAATAAATGTTTTTTGTACTGATTACATTGGTACCCTATCCTTTGTCCCCGTTTTATGAACGAACCTATTTTACATATTATAAGAGCACGTGAGCCCTTTCTTCTAATTATATATATATATATATATATATATATATATATATATACCTACCCGAACATAGCTCGATTAGAACTCATTTAGATACACACAAAAACCTACCAAACTCAATCCAAAACATACTAATAGAAAATACAAGTAAAATAGCCTCATCCATATGTTAAAAAAGATGAAAAGTAATGAAAGCCCTAATAATAAAAAAAAGGAAAAGCCAACAGTCAATAACATTCACTATGAACACGTCCACAATGTGCTGACCATGCTCAGAAAATAAAACATTCCTATAACTTTAGGTACATAACTTTAGACGCGTACATAAAAAAAAAACATATTTTGTTAAAAAATAAAAAAAAAATAAAAATCGCACTTGATAATGGCTAAAGGAAGCTCTCAGATATACAGAACTTTTCGGCAGTTTTTACACACTTTGGGTCCAGAAAAGAAAACACTTGTACGAACACAAAAGAAATTAAATAAGAAGCTTAATCGTAGTACCTTGTATGTCGTCTTTAACGAAACATGTATAAAAGAGGGAATGCTGCCCCCCATATATATATATATATATATATATATATATATATATATATATAGATAGATAGATCCAAGTATATGATTGGCGTATACTGAATAAATATCAATAACCAACAATTACTATTCTTAAAAGAGTGCTCAATACAGAGTAGAACGAATATAATTATACACACACAAACACACACACACACACACACACACACATATATATATATATATATATATATATATATATATATATATATATTTGGTTGGATATATGTGAGTTTGTGACCTGGGTTCACGCTTTACCGATCGTCAGACAAACTCACATCTATCCAGCCAAATATGTGAGTTCTATCTCTGATATTGAGCGCTTTCTAATAAGTACCGCGCATATAATATATAAATAATTATACATATATATATTTATTTATATTTATATACACTTTTCACACACACACACACACACACACACACACACACACACACACACACACACATATATATATATATATATATATATATATATATATATATATATATACTGAATGAGAAAGACAGGGATTTGACTGCAAAGACTGAGATACATATGAAGAGACTGCACTGAGATAGATAGCTGTAAACTAATTCTAGAAGCAGTCTCGTACAATGTAAATTTGCTTCTGCCTTGGTTGGTTGACTCGTAATTCATAGCAACGAAGTAAGTAATTATTTTCTGAACACACTAATATTTCGTTTACCCTTTTTTTTACATTTGCTTTTCTACATTTCTCGATATATTTTCAGTTGAGCATGGCATAAGGCCAGATGGGGGGTAAATGAGAGTAAGATGATTGTGCGGCGCCGATGCTCTAAGAGAACTGACCTTGCAATCAGGAAAATCATCAATCAAATCCAAGCTCGTAACCGATACCTGACATCAACAACTGGTATGGCGATATATATATATATATATATATATATATATATATATATATATATATATATATATATATATTCGCTAAATGTAAATCATATTCAAATCCTTTACTAATGTTAGTGCATTCTAGTAAAAATATAATGTGGAAATAGAGTGTATCAGAAGGAAGATTATATTGCGCCAAGTATCGAATCGTCAGAGAAGCGAAGTAACGATAAAGTCACTTGTAAGCAATAAAAATATCGAAAAAACTAGCATGGTTGTAGTGGATGTAGTTCTAATCACGAAAATTTTAGATTTCAGTACTGGGATGATGGTTTTATATATATATATATATATATATATATATATATATATATATATATATATATATTGAATAGACCGATTAAATAGGTCAATGTTTGATCCTTACCCCACCTCCTCAATATTAGGTATTGTAATAAAAATAAAGATAAATATAAATTTTAAAACTCTCCGTTCCCTCTCGAAACTCGAACATGTGTCTCTCACACTATTCCTCACCACCCTCTATGTCACCTTATATAAACTTAATACTGCCCTTCAAAAATTATCTGGTGAAATAAATTATAACTAATGGAGTCTTAAAGTGGTTTGTTTTTCTTTAAATTAAATTATTCGCTCTGACGTAACATTGAGCTCTCAGGATTTTATCCTCCTTGGTATTATCCATACGGAATACCAAGATTTTTGTTTCTTAATTATATTATATATATATATATATATATATATATATATATATATATATATATATATATAAATGCATACATACATGTATATCTATATATGTATTTTTTATATATACTGTTTCATATGCGCAGTACTTGGAAAGTGGTCAATGTCAGTGATAGACCTAATATATTCAGGTGTATAGATTTGAGTTTGGGATCCTGGCGACACAGACGACCGATTTGAAAAGCGTCAAGAACATCCCAAGCTGCCCCTTGTTGAAAGAACATCGCTACATACAGTCTCGACACCGAAATAGAATTACAATTACGCATGCATGTTCGCTCGAACGCATGGATGTGTATCTGTGCCTAATCTCGGATTGTTTATATCGGTGTGTTTGTGTGAAGTAAAATGCATACACCTGCATGTATGTATGTCTGTGTGGGTGAGAGAGTTTCATCCCAAATGGACCCCCCCCTACAACCAAATATAGTCAAACACAAACAAGCATAAATAGATTGAATTTTTGTAAAAATAAATCAATTTGATGATCACAAAAGTTTCGTCATTCATACAAATGAACATATATATATATATATATATATATATATATATGTATATTTACACACACACACATATATATATATATATACAGTAATCCCGGATATAAGAGAGTTGTGGGACCGGAAAGTCTCTTATATCCGGGTTTCTCTTTATCAGAGTTTGACTTAATATATTAAATTTGGGATCAGAGAAAATCTCTCTATATCCGGGTTTTACTTTATCCGGGTCTCTTATATCCGGGTTACACTGTATATATATATATATATATATATATATATATATATATATATATATATAGTCATACACAGAGACTGGCTGTATCAGTGTGGCTAGACTCGATTTTCATATCGAAACCAGACTGATTTGACATATCTTACCTTTGGGCCATCGTCGCACGGGAAAGTGGTGGTGGTGGGGGGGAAGTATACCGTTTTCTCTATATACGAAATACGCCAACGGCTCGAGAGAACTCAATTCAATTTACTTGAAGAGTAAAATTTCAGCTAGTGTATCTTTAAATGACAATATGAATAAAAGACAGAAGGAGAACTTGTCTTTATTTGTAAGTTGCGGGGTCGCTATTATGATTGGGTAAATATTTTTATATTCTGGGAATCAACACTTTGGTGAGGTGGATCCCAAAACAATATTGGCGGACTCCTCAGTAAAAAAAAAAAAAAAAAAAAAAATCAAAAAAAGTAAAATCAAAAGATTAACACAAAAAATGTAATGACCAAAAGGATAAAAAAATTACAATAAATGAGGAAAGATTTAAAGTCTAGCTTCATAGAAAAAAAATTTGAAAAATGTGTGGGGCAAGAAGTGTAAAAAAGAATTGTATAAAAGAATTGTCAAAAAGAGGTTATGGAGAAAGATGTACACGTATTTACAGGCTTAAGGAGCACACCGCACAAGGTCCCCAAACACACACACACACACACACACACACATATATATATATATATATATATATATATATATATATATATATATATATATATGTATGTATGTATGTATGTATAGTTATTACTGTATTCGAGGATACCTGTCTACTAGGGTGGGTAGCCACTCCCTAATGCAGACGCTTGCTCAGGCGCATTTGTGTTTATTCAACACCCACAGAGCCCACCTGTGGTTTATACTGCAACTATGCTGGAGAAGACCTTTAGTTACAGTTTCAGGGAAAGAGCATGTTATCTATGTGATTAACAATTTGAACAAAGCCAGCACGCTCATGCCTTCGGCCACGATGACTTGTGACTTCGTGCTAACACAGCTATCGATGCCCCCAAGGATTCGACTGGGGTATTGGTATGGTTTTCAAACTCTCCAGAGGGGTGGCACGATGGTATCAACCCCCTCATTCCTAACATCAGGAAGTCTCCTTCCTGACAAATCAAATATATATATATATATATATCCTATATATATATATATATATATATATATATATATATATATATTGTTATATTTAGGCCATTAATGCATAAAATAATATAGACAAGTTTCTTGAACAGATAAATAAAATTGAAACCTAACCTGAAAAAAAAACTACGAAAAATCTCCACAAATATCCTTAAATGCCTATAATTGGTAACAGAAGCCACTGGTTTATACCAACGGCTTCTCATAGAATTCTTCTCGTTTTCAAGAAGAAGAAAAACAAGAAAATTTTTCATGCAACAAAAACAGACTATCATTATTGTTTCAAATTGGTTGATATATTGATTTTTCATCTTTTGATAATGGCTTATGCGTGAAAGCTTAGATTGAATTTAAACATGAATCAATATCTTTCCTTTCGTCATTCAATGATAATGTTATTAAGCTTATCAGACAATATGAAAGGAACTTACTTCTCTATATTATTTAGTGAAACATGCTTATATATATATATATATATACATATATATATATATATATATATATATATATATATATATATATATATATATATATGTGATGGACCTTCACGTCGTTTATCAATGTATACATGGAACAACTAAGTTCTAGGAACGGACAGCCAGACATCTGCACATATGTTTTGATTATTATTATGAAGCTTTGTGCAGAACCTACCACGCTTTTTGCAGGGCCGATTACAGAGACCTGGTGCACTACGTGCCACAAGGTCCCCAAACGGCCCTCCACAGGTTTCTTCAGAGTTGTCTTCTCCTAGACCAGTTGCCATCCAATGCTATAGAACCATCTGTCCCGCTATTTACCCATAGCTGGGGGGGAAGAAGAGGATTCATATCTTTTAGGGGTATTAATACGTGTGAATACAATGGATTCCCGAACTCGGCTCTCCTCAATCCAAGCCGCTATCCATTATTCCTCCGTGCCTCCTAAAAAGGTAACAGATAAATAAAATAGGTAAAAAAAAATAAAAGAAGGAAGGAGAAGAAGACGAAGAAGATGAAGAAGAAGAAAAACAAGAAAAGAAAAAGTATTATATCCTAAAAAGATTATGTGCCATGCGTGATACACGCTTAGGCGATTACCTATCTTTTGATACATGGATGACGAGGCAGATTCTTTTCTCCCGCAGTAGGTTGCCATTTCTTTCTGCGGTAGACCAGTTGCCATCGAAGGCTATAGAACCCGGTCTGTCCTGCTATTTACCCATAGCTGGGGGAGAATAAAGGGTATTAGCACGTAAGTGAATGTAATGGATTCGACTGGAATTTGAATTCGGCTCTCCGATTCCTCAAGACACTATTCATTACTCCACCGTGCCTCCAATATATATACTTATATAGGCATCTCCGTTCTACACACGTATATGGCTATCTCACGTCATTAAGACCCTCATGATGGTGTTGAGATCAAAAATAACTTTTGGGCCTAGGCAATGATTCACTACGTTTTACAAGAAAACGTTGCGTATTTTCACCAGCAGTAGCCTCCAAAAAAAGATCTGAACCATTTCCAGAGTATTAGCATTTATATCACTAAGAGCATTACTCATTAGTGAGTTGGTTGTCCTTTTAACCTACGGCCTTTTAATCTACGGCCAACCTTTGCATCACGAAATTTATATACGTGATCTTACTTCGTGATGCAAAGGTTTATATTTTTTTAATCATTTCACTCCAAGTAAGGACACTAAAACACAAGGGGTTACTGAATTGTTCTTATGTGCTTTTTCGCTGTGGCACCTAAACTGTATGAATTTAGGGGCTGTACTAGATTTGCAACAAGGTATTATCCTTTTACAGTTGAAATGGCTTGATGTAACTGTTCTCTGTTAACAGTTTCTTGCCTCGTACCTCTCGCTTGCTGGCCTCTTTTCCGGCTTATTGATTTCCAGCCAACTTTGATCTTCAAAAATTTAAAAGCAATCTTAATCGTTATCTGACGTCTTTTTTTTATTCCTCTTATTTTATTATTCTCGCTACTTAATGTTTCACGTTTTGTTTTTCTTATTCTTTCACACTCAGTAACCCCTTGTGTTTTAGTGTCCTTACTTGGAGTGAAATGATTAAAAAAATATAAATACCATATCGAGGAATGATTGCGTATGAAATTTATTTTGTAGCATGGAAAGACGGTTCGCTGGATCAAATCGACTCTCTGAATATCAAAAGTCATTCAGTTATGTGCCATGTGATACACGCTTAGGCGATCATGTATCTTTCGATACATGACTGACGAGGCAGTTTTTTTTTTTCCGGCAGTAGTTTGCCATTTCTTTCTGTGGTAGAACATT